ACGGCCAGGTGACTGGTAGATTGCAATCTGGGCTTGCTGACCCGCCATTTCAGAGCAATTAATATGTGTTTGGTTTTAAAGGGATGAGGTGGCAATCCTATATATAAGTATACAATTGTAACCAAGTGAATATGCAATGACCAACTATGTCCCATCTATAAAATAACTAAAAATCCACCTGCGCAGCCATATATCAAAATAATACTGTGAAACACTACTAGTAATATCACCTGACCTTGTGAGAAATCAAAACTCATTAATCAGTGTAGCTCTATCAATTCAAATATGCAATAAAAAAAACAACCAATCATATATAAAAGTGCAGTCAATAGAATCAATGTAAAGTCCAAAAGTCCTGTGCATTCCGTGTGACCATACAACAAAATCACTGTACAAGCCGTGTGAGCATTCAATAAAGTCCAATGTACAATTCATACAGAAACACTCTTCTCATGAGCAAAACAATCCTCAGGTGGTGCACTCCTCTTCCATATTACACTGAACTGCTCACCTTGTGTTGAGCTCAAAGGTACACAGAGGTCAGCAAAAGCTTTATCCCCTCCTGGATCATAATTTGATGATGATCTCCACCACAGAACTCCAAAAGGTAAAGCTGCTCTCAGGGTTTCCTCATCCACTCAGAAATAATATGAAAAATATAGCCTCTTATAGTGCTAATTGACATCAAGGAATCAGGTATAAAAACACCACATGCATCAAATCTTTAAAAGTATGAATAAATAAAAAAAGCCGCCATATGAATGACATTAGTAGGGCTCACCACTTGCCGGGCTTGATCCACTGCTAGCCTTGTCGCAGCTAACCAGGTTCTTATGCTTGATCAAAGCGTGATGACGTCATCGGCCAGAAACTGCATCCCTTACTCGTATTGTCCAATGTCAGACTTCTTCAGAAAGGTAAGGGTCCTGATACCAACCAACACACTTTATATGCTCTCCTGGATGCAACCATAGAAATCTGTACACAAACCCCGATCATGTGACCACCACAATCCCAGAAGTTAACGCATGGGTCAACAAAACGGAGAAATACAGTATGTAAAAAATATATGGAACACTATGCAGGGCTGATTAAAAAAAATAAAATGTGCATTTATATACATACAATAAATCACTTTTAATATATAAATAGCGGTGCATACATATAAAAACACACATATGTAATAAGTAACAAGGCAATCTGATAAAAACATAAAATTACAAAAGCCGTTAAATAAAAAATATACATTAAATATTTATACATCACTAATGAAACAGTTGAGATCAAAGTCTGTATTGAGACCCCTAGGTGTCATAACTTTGGTCGCAAAAATCCTGAGATATTCCTTCTTTCAGACAGAGTTGTCCTACTGTCAGTAGTTACCCCCCCCCCCCCCAACGTTTGTCCACATTCTCTGTTCTACTGGAGTCCTTATTGTGTCTAATTTTGAAATGTTGAGATACACTATTTTTTTTCTCCCCATTCTTAATGTTACAAATGTGCTCACGTAAACAAACATGTAAGGGTCTAGAGGTCCTGCTCACATACTGGAGGCCACAAGGGCACTCTAGCATGTAAACAACCCCCTCTGATTGGCATGAAATAAAATCCACAATTTTGTACAGTACCTCTTCTCTGTGGCATGTGAGTGTTTTTATACCTGATTCCCTTTATTAAAATTGTCAGCGAGCACTATATGAGGCTTTATTTTTCATATGACTTCCGAGTGGATGAGGCACCCTTAGGAGCGGCTTTCCCTGTGGGAGTTCTGTGGAGGAGATCATCATTATTTTATGATCCCAGGAGGGGTATACATGTATTTGCTGACCTTTGTCTAACTTTGATATCAACACCACAAGGTGAGCAGTTTGCAATGATATGGGAGTGTAGTGCACCACCTGAGGACTGTTTGTTCACGAGAAAAGTGTTTCTGCGAGGGTCACTTAATAGATTTGGCAACAGGTCACAGGCCACAATGTAATTAAATTTTATTTAATTTAGTTAGTTTATTTTATTTTTTATTTATATTTATTTTTATTATATGACACTTATATTTTGGTATAGTTGAAGGTTGAGAGAACTGTTTTGTGGGTCTTTGCACATTTTTACATATAATTTAATTTATTTAAAAATTGCAGCTCTAATTGAATCATCTATTGGGACATATTGATAGTATATCGTTATTACCTATCCTTCAAAGCAGCAAACAATTATCTTCACAACTTGAACCCTGCTCCTTTGCACTCTGCAACTGACCAACTCTATGACAGAATCTGTCCCCTGTCCTGCCCTGACCTGGCCACTACTGTCTACAACAGTTTGCTTTCATCCGCATTAGACTCACTTGCTCCTCTAACAACATGAAGCATCAGGCCCGACCGTTACAACCTTGGCAGACTGACGACACCAGAAATCTTAAACAACATAGTTGTGCTCTGGAGCGATCGTGGCGTAAAACCAAATCTCAACAAACATTCACCCTATATAAATCTGTTTTCTTAACATACAATTCCTCCCTTCATGCTGCCAAACAAGCCTACTTTGTCACTCTTATTAATACCTTGTCATCCAGTCCTCATTGTCTCTTCTCTGCTTTTAACTCTCTACTTTCTCCACCTCCACCCAGCGCCTCACTCACTGCTCACGAGATTGCAAATCATTTCAAAAACAAGATTGACGCAATTCGTAGGGGCATCGCCACTGCACAGACATCCATCCCACTTAGCATACCTTATACTAAACCTCCCTCAACACTTACCTCTTTTGACCTTGCTACTACTGAAGAGGTCACTAAGGTTTTCTCAGACTCTCGTCTCACTACCTGCCCCCTGGATCCTGTCCCCTCACAAGTACTACGGTCACCCTCTTCTTCCATCCTATGCTTCCTCACTCTTATCTTCAATCTTTGCCTCTCTACTGGTGCCTTCCCCTCTCCTCTAAAGCATGCACACATCACTCCCATACTTAAAAAGCCCTCCCTGGACCCCATCAACCTGAACAACTTAAGACCCAACTCCCTGCTGCCATTTACCTCTAAACTCCTAGAACTCTTAGTCTACAATCGCCTGAGCTCCTACCTCACTGACAACAACCTTCTTGACCCTTTACAGTCTGGCTTTCGCTCGCTACACTCCACTGAAACTGCTTTACTAAAACTCACTAATCTACTAACAGCTAAAACCAATGGCCACTACTCCATACTCTTACTTCCTGACCTCTCTGCGGCTTTTGATATGGTTGACCATCCCCTCCTCCTCAAAAAATCCACTCTCTTGGCCTCAGAGACTCTGCTGTCTCCTGGTTCTCCTCCTACCTATCGCAGCACTCCTTCAGCATTACCTATAATGCTGCCTCCTCCTCTTCACTCCCTCTTTCCGTAGGGGTCCCTCAAGGTTCCTTCCTTGGACCCCTTCTCTTCTCCATCTACACCTCCTCCCTTGGTCACTTGATAAACTCCCATGGCTTTAAGTACCATCTCTATGCTGATGACACACAAATCTATCTTTCTACCCCTCACCTCACCCCTTCAGTCTCCTCTTGCATTACTATCCTACTAAGTGACATATCGGCATGTCACTCCACTTCCTCAAACTCAATATTTCCAAAACTGAGCTCTTAGTATTCCCCCCAACCCGTGCCCCCTCCCCTGACTTCTCCATCAAGATCAATAACACAATCATCATTCCATCCCCTCATGCCAGGGTACTAGGTGTAATCCTAGACTCCCATCTGTCCTTTCAGTCCAAAATCCATTCACTGTCCAAATCTTGTAGACTTCACCTCCGCAACATCTCCAAGATACGCCCGTTCCTAACCTCGGAAGCCATTAAGCAACTTATTCACTCCCTTGTTATATCTCGCCTTGATTATTGTAATTCCCTCCTCATTGGCCTACCTAATCGCAGGCTATCCCCTCTTCAGTCTATCATGAATGCTGCTGCCAGACTCATCCATTTTACTAACCGTTCCATATCTGCCACTCCTCTCTGCCAATCCCTCCACTGGCTTCCCATTGCCCAACGGATAAAATTCAAAACATTAACAATAACGTATAAAGCCATTTATAACTCTGCCCCAAATTACATCACTGATCTTGTCTCTAAATACTACCTTTTGTACCACTAGCCCCTCCCTCCTAGATTGTAAGCTCCAAGAAGCAGGGTCCTCCTATCCCTCTTGTATTGAACTGTATTGTTGCTGTATTGTCTCCCTTTATATTGTAAAGCGCTGAGCAAACTGTTGGTGCTATATAAATCCTGTATAATAATAATAATAATAATTATCCTTTTGCCTATATATCTCACATTTACAATGTAATTAAATGGTTCAGAGTTTCAAATGTTTTATTTTGAATAGCATAATGAACATTTTCCTCCTGCAGCCACTGAATGCTGGTGGAATTGGAGAGGATTGGTTCCTGCATATGCCACCCCCACTGCCCCTCCCGTCCAAGTGTAAAATGTAAAATAGAATGTGACAGGGAGGTTATTACAGGTTTTTTTTTTTTTTTTGGGGGGGGGAGGGGACAAAAACACATCTCAACTATAGGGTTTCACTGTCCCCAAATGTGAGCCCTTACTGTCCTGAGCCCCCTATAAGGCTGCTTTCACAGTGATGCGCTGAGGTTTACCTGCATTACCCCACATCATTTTTTAAATTTTGTCTTGGGGTTCCTAAGGGTCCGGTTTGGATTTTGGGGGATTCCACTTTTTTTTTTCATAGGTATAGATTAGGGGGGGGGGGGGGGGGGGCATGCATTTTTTTTTGTTCAATTTTAACTAGTTGCCGACCGCAGATAGCCGAATGACGGCTGCACTGCGGCCGGCCAGTTCTGGGTGGACGTCATATGACGTCCTCCCAGAACGCGCTCACCCAGCGATCTCCGTGATTGCTGTGTCCTTCGGACACAGCTGATCACGTGATGTGGTAAAAGGCCAATCACAGCGGCGGCCTTTTACCACGTGATCAGCAGTGTCCAATGACACGCTGATCACAGGGAAATGCAAGTGCCGGTTCTCGGCTGCACTTTCCTCACGCTGTCAGATCGTGAGGAAAGTACTGCCGAGAACCGGCAGTTGTCAGAGCGAGCATCGACGCCGATCATCAGGGCACTGATCATCAGTGCCCTGATGATCGGTGCCCAGCAGTTCCACCCGCAAGTTCCGCCCACCTGTGCCCAGCAGTGCGCCCACTACCTCTGCCCACCTGTGCCCAGCAGATCACCCACCTGTACCCAGCAGTGCACCCACCTGTGCCACTCTGCAGTGTCACACACCTGTGCCCAGAAGTGCCACCTACCTGTGCCCAGCAGTGCCACCCACCTGTGCCCACCAGTTCCACCCACCTGTGTCCACCCACCAGTGCTGCCCACCAGTGCCACCCACCAGTGCAGCCCAGCAGTGCTGCCAGTCAGTGCCACCAGTCAGTGCCCAGCGGTTGTGCCAGTCAGTGTGCCGCCAGTCAGTGCCCAGCAGTGATGCCAGTCAGTGCCGTCTATCAGTACCCATCATCAGTGTCACCTATCAGTGCCACCTATCAGTGCTGCATATTAGTGCCGCCTATCCGTGACACCTCATTAGTGCTGTCTATCAGTGCCGCCTATCCGTGCCACCTCATTAGTACTGCCTATCAGTGCCCTTTAGTGCTGCCTATCAGTGCCCATCAGTGCGCCTATTAGTGCCCTCAGTGCTGCCTCATCAACGCACATCAGTGAAGGAGAAAAATTACCTGTTTGAAAAATTTTATAATAGAAACAAAGAAACTTTTTTTTTTCAAATTTTTTGCACTTTTTTTATTTATAGCGCAAAAAGTAAAGCGCCCAGTGGCGATTAAATACCACCAAAAGAAAGCTCTATTTGTGAGAAAAAAATGATCAAAATTTCATATGGGTACAATGTTGCATGACCGCGCAATTGTCAATCAAAATGCGGCAGCGCTGAAAGCTGAAAATTGGCCTGGTAAATAAGGGGGTATAAGTGCATGGTAGGCAAGTGGTTAATGCCAGCATTCTTTTGTTTACATTTCCATTGAACTTTCAGTGGGGAATCCCTTTGACAGCTGATGAGTCATCAGTTGTTAAGAATGCAGCGGCTGCCTGATCCTTGACGACCCGCTGTTCACTGCTAAATGCCAGCACAAGCACTGAAAAATGCTGGCACAAAAACGCTAATATCAGCCTTTTTATTCAGCGTTTTTCCATCTTTTTTTTAAAGCTTCTACTGTGCATGAGAGATTTCTTCTAATTTCTTATTGTGTTTCTGTCAATAAATGAAGGCAAATTACTTCAGCAGTACTCAGATAGAAAAATAATAACCAGGTAAGGGTTTTAGCCATTCCCTCCTCTATCCAAAACAAAACAAAATGTTTTAGCTATGCATTTTCCTAAACTGATCTCCAAATCCATGAACACTGACCATTATATGTCCCAAACCAAGTCATTAGGTGAGCTGTACAACTTTTAGCCCAAGATTTGTAAGTGATAGCGGGTACATAAATTGACATAATGGGTGCACCATTGGGAATTCTAATAAATGTAGAAAGTCACTAGCACACCAAGGTGTTCTTTTTTCTGTTTTATTGCGAAAGAAAAGCAACAAAGTGGCCTACTTTCTTGACTTGATAAAGGGACCCTGCTTTCACAATAAAACTGTGAATAAACCCCTGGGAGTGCTGGTGTTGTTCTAAATGTATATATCCGATGTTCTATTTGGATCCATTGATGTATCCAGAGTACGAGTTATGCCCACTTGAAGGGAGGCACTGTGTAGGGCTGGCATCAGGGGGCATTTGGGTGTGCTTTAGCATCCCCCAAAAATCTGCTAACACCTCCAAAGCACTCATCAGATTATCAGATTAAAGCACCCTTATTGTTTTTAGAAATCCTGAAATTTCCTGGAGTCATCTGCTTAATGGGGCTCTACACGTCACGTGTTTCCATGGTTCAGGCGGGCCTGTAGATACCCCCTGCTTGCAGTTCAGGATACTGGGAAGTGACATTGAGATGAATACTTTCTATCTATCACCTCTTTGCCTTTAACCTCTTATAGGTGGATTCGCACCTTTCTGGTGGTTTATCTCCAATGATTGGAAGCTGTTTTGAAAAGCTAATCTTACTGCAAGCAATTAGTAAAGTGATGTAACTGAGGCAGTGGGATTATGTCATGTTCCAGAACTCTTTCTGGTGAGATAGTCTGTATCCTTTAACCCTGACTAGGAAGGATACCTCTTCACTTTGATCTGTTGCTGGATTTCTATTCAGGAACACAAGTGATTACTGTAATCATTATCCGTCTATCACCAGCACTGGGATATTGTCAGCTTCCACATCAAAGGAATGGCATAACAGCTTGTGTCACTCTAGATGGCAATCGCAGGCAGCTGGAGACCAAGGACCAAATCTTTGTAATATTTGTAACTTTATTTCTGCAATTATAGGAAATCGCTCATAATTGGAACATGGAGCTGTAGTTACTGATTTCTCCTTTTAATGCTAGCTGCCTGACTCTATGTTCACCATCTTGCTTTATTAGTCAGGAGTACTGACTTTTCTCTGACTAGGACCCCTTTTACACGGACGTTCCGCCTGCCAGTTTTTTCAGAACCTCTATTCTCATCTATGGAGCGGCATGTGTAAATGCGCATGTGTCCCTTTACACCCGCTGACATCCAATCCAATGCGATTCACCAAAAAGAGACGGATGGGTATCCATTCCCCCTCCATTTGTCAGATCGGTTGGCAGTCAGATGGAAACAGACAGGTGGTCCCTTTCCATCGACTGCCCATGGAGGACAGCGGGCTGTGTCTGTGTCCGCTCTGCAGCAGTAGACACAGACCTGTCACCCACTTGCTCAGTGGAAATCAGGGGAGAGACGGGTGTAAAAGGGGCCTTTCGTGGTCCACAAACTCCAGGGATAGGCAACCTTAGAGAGGTGGAGATCTACCTGAACAACTTAGGAGAAGTCAAGATCACCGGGTACAGTGTTGCTCCTCACACCATATTTAAACCTCTAATTGCCATACAACCATGCCGCAATCATGTGCATTGCACGACATATATGGGTTTAAATCGGCTACTGAGAAGGCAACATATCCTCCTAACCACCGGTCAAACACACAGATCACTTTTCAGTGAAGCAGCAGTGTCTATTGCACCTGTGAATGAGCCCTTAGTTGCATTCGGCAGCGGCACCCTTAGGGCTCGTTCACACTTAAAGTTGAGGTGTGGTAAAACCCTGAGGTTGAGTCACAGTTTTATTGCCCCCAATCCCTACCCCTTTTAGCTGTTGAGGCTGCCAAAGGTGTACACATGCCACAGCAGGAATTAAACACCCTGTTGCTTTTGATGGGTGCTACTGCCTACCAGTCTGACCCACAAGTAAATGGGGCCACTCTGCAAGCATCCTGCAACTGTATGCTTCTGCGGGGTCCAAGGGGTTAAAGCAGTGGTGAGAAAGCAACACACTGCTACCTGCTTTAACCCCTTGTTTGCTGTACTGCACAAGGTTCCAGGGCACTTGCAGAGCGGCCTCATTCACTTGAATGGGTCATGCTTGCTACACCCACTAACCATGACTGGGCATATCACACCTGCTGCAGCTGCGACATGTGTACACCCCTACCCAATGCAGCTAAGGGGATAGGTTGGGAAAGGGGGAGGTAAAAACACTTTTTAACTAAGGGGTTTACCATCCCCCAAATTGCAAATGTAAATGAACCCTTACTGTTCTGAGCCCCCTATAAGGCTGCTCTTACACTGATTTTCTGCGGTTTACCTGCACTGCTGGTGCAGCACAGTGCATCTTTGCCTTTTCTTGGTTAGCTGTGCTTTGCCATAGACTTCTATTATATCCTGCAGGTGTGGTGCACTTTCTGAAAGCGCACCAAAACTCCTGCAGAAGTTTTGGCGTGCTTTTAGAAAGTGTGCTAATCCTGCAGGATATAATAGAAGTCTATGGCAAAGCACAGCAATGCTGCAGGTACATTGCACCTGCTTTGTGAATGCAGCCCTCTACTATTATGCCCAATGTATTGCTTCACACTGGCCTGAAGATTTCTTCTTTCCTGCTGCTGGCACCACTCTGGAGACCTCTAGATGGGGTAGGAGGTGGAGTGCAGTTGGTATCACTCAGCATGGGACAGGAGCCAGCACTACAGAGGAGTCATCAGCTTACATGGCTCTTGATCCCTACTACAGCTCCAACTTTGCAGGAATTCCCTCTGTATTGCAGTCTGTTTGATGCTAGGAGATGGTGGATCAGCAAGCCCAGATCATGATCTATCAGTCACCTTGCCAAGATCCACTGGTAGCTGATCCCTGACATACTCAGTAAGTCTTGAAGTATTATTTTTTTTATTTCAGGTACTTATATAGCACTGTCAATTTACACAGCACTTTACATATATATTGTACATTCACATCAGTCCCTAACCCTCAAGGGGTGTACAATCTAAGGTCCCTAACTTACATTCATACATACACATACTAGGGCCAATTTAGACAGGATCCAATTAACCTACCAGCATGTCTTTTGGAGAGAGGGAGGAAAACCAGAGTACCTGGAGAAAACCCATTCAGGAACAAGGAGAACATGCAAACTCCAGGCAGGTGGTGCAATGGCTGGGATTCGAACCAACGCCCCAAATACTGCCAGGTGGAAGTGCTAACCATTGAGCCACTGTATTAGCTATGGAACTAGGCTTTTCCGAAAGAGGTCATGAATTGCAGCCCCTGTATTTTTCTCATGAGGGCTTTACCTGATGGTTAGCATGGACTTTTCCCATGCATATCTGGAAGTGTTGGTATTTTCTTTGGCTCTCAGTGCTAACTGGAGCAGAGTGGGAGGGAAGGAAAGGTTACAATGCTGCTGTGGAGTAGCAGCGCACAGACTTGCTTTAGGCACAGTTGCCGTGTTTCCTGGTTGGCATTAGTTTAGTGATTACTTTTACTTACTATATCTGGAGGTGATCTTTATAATGTGAAGGTAAACTAAAACTTTTTGCAGTTTTAGAAAAAGTAGGAAATGGTAAAGAAAAATTACATTTTTTTCCCTGTCCTGTTGGGTAGAATTGCCTGTCCTTGAGATGCAAGGAAGTCAGTTAAAATATATGCGAGTAAAGGGAGTCATTATCTTACACCAGGGCTTGACCAGTCTAAGGCGCCAAGTCTCCATGGCAACTATAAATTGTGTCCTGTTGTCTGGGTTTACACACTGTCTCCCGTTGACTTCAGTGCAAAATCATATCCCATTGACTTCAATACAAAATTGTGTCCCATTGACTTCAATGCAAAATTGCTTCCCGTTGGCTTCAGTGCAAAATCATATCCCATTGACTTCAATGCAAAATTGCGTCCCATTGACTTCAATGCAAAAAATGCAT